TATGACACGTGGAAGCTATTATTATTATTTGATTAATTCCAGTCTTATAAATTCAAATCATATCACTATTTAAGCAATGAAACACAATTAAAAAACAAATTAAATACAATTAAAAAACAAATTAAATATAATTAAAAAACAAATTAAATACAATTAAAAAAACAAATTAAATACAATTTAAAAAAAAAATTAAAAGATATCTACTCAACTCAAAATGAGACAAACTTTATGTGAGCTAGTTCTGGTAAAAACCTTACTCAAAAACATGAAATTATTTCTTCCCTCTTATGTCTAAATACATTTTAGGCAAGTAGGAAATTGTTTAGATATCGGTAGTAAACTTTAACCCATCCATAAATTTTAATGATTGTAGCGAATCGGAGCAAACGCTACAAATCTCTTTTGTATTTAAAATTTTAGTTTTAGTTTTATATTTAAATTCTAAATTTAAATGTGTTTGTTCTTGGCGCCTTTTTCTTGATTTTTGCTAGTGTTTTCTGTTTTGCTTTGATAGCGACAACGTGTTTTCCAAAAATATTAATAAACTGTAAGTACATTTTCTTGGCCTTGCTCAGTCGTTGTTAGCACCCATCCCTTCACCCATTGATACAGTCCGCTACATATTTTGGTCCTTTCGATCCGAAATATCAAATTACCACACATTTCATATCAACATGCTGACAAGGAGCAAGGCCAGAACACTTACAGCGACATGCGTGGTTGCTGAGACGGGAGACACGGCACATGCACTGCACCGGACACATTCGTGTCCACTGGAGCAGCGTGAGTCGTGTAGCTCGGCTCGAAGCCCCTCGCCCACTAACGTGGGAGAAAAGACGCGCATCTCTACTACTAACACGGCTACCGCGCACGCACGGAAGCTAGCAGTAGAGGCTGAACTGCGCAGAATTCAACATGAGCGTGAAAAGCTCATAGAAGAAGCTGAACTCCGGGCACAATCGCCGCGATCGACGCCGAGTCGCACAACGGCTCTCAACACTCGGTCCTAGATTGGCTCGCTGATGGAGACCACACCCAGGTAATCCTCCAAAGGACCACGGTATGCCCTGCGGTGGATCCCCACACATCGGCGACACAAGCCCAGGTAAATGTACCTTTGTCAAGTTTGATGTCTGTACCACTCCCAGAGTCTTTGCCTCAAACAGTTCGGGTCTCACCGACATGCGCTTCCGAAATCTCCGTCATCATCATTATCTCCATCACCAACACTAAACGATCTTAATAAATCGCAATTAGCCAACATCACTGAATTATCAGCTGACAATCTACTTATCATGCTTAAAGCCATAGCCGACACAGCTTCAGCTGCTAAGATTTTATTATTTTATTAATTTATTATTAGATTTTTTTTATAATTATTAGCTAACAGTATTAATTGCCGCTCTAATCCCTCTATTGTCGTTGATTTACCAATCTTCACAGGCAATGCTCTAGAGTGGCTCCAGTTCAAAAATATATTTAATGCTACCGAACATTCATTCACAGACTTGGAGAATGTCACGAGGTTGCAGCGCTCTCTACGCGGTGCTGCAAAGGATGCAGTCGCTGCAATGCTGATTGTAGCAGATGATCCAAACATTGTGATGGACGCTCTGCAACGGGAATTTGCCCGACCGGAGATGGTCGCCATCCGAGAGCTCAATTCATTGGGGGCGCTGCCCAGAGTGGGTGGTGAGCTCAAAGAATTGAACACGATGGTCCCTCATCTGCGCAATAGCGTAGCGACCATCCGCCTACTCAATCGTGAGGAATTTTTACATTCCCTGAAATGTTCTACACTGTTCTAGCAAAACTTCATCCTAATATGAGAATGAGGTGGTCGGACTTCGCTCACACACATGCTGATGTCCAGACGCCGAAAATAATGTTGTTATCTGTATATGTAGTTTCTGGAGCAAGAATCTAAACTACTATATCATAAATGTATTGTGAGTACGTAGTCATTACATTGTGTTTTTTAAAAAGGTTTCTGCAGGATTGACTTTTTTAAGCCTACTATAGTTCTTAGTGCGCCTTTTTGAAGAATAAACAGTCTATTTGACTCGGATATAATCAGAGGGTCGACTTTTGTTCTCCGTTCGACATCCGTCCGATTAAATAAAGTAAAATAAATTAAATTAAATTAAATTAACGTCCACACTCAGCATAGTTCCGCACTAGGCAAACACTATGTCGCGTGTGCCATGGACACAGCATAGACAAACACAAATTACACCCAAAGTGACGAGAGAAATAAATGTAGGCCATACAAATATTTCTCAAAAACGCATAATGCGAATGAAGCTTTATACTTGACATTGTCTTGTAATCTGATCGAGTATTACCTACTTATTTGACAGTAATTGTTTCGGGCCTAAATATCGGACGGAGAATGAGATTAGACCCCCAGTAAAGAGGGTAAAAAAGTGGGTTGACTACATTGACTTACAAATAAATGGACGACGGGTCTAATACAAAAACCACGAAAAAAATGTCCCAAGTCAACCTATTCGAAATTTAAATTGTAATGTCATCGCAGTATCGCGCTGTCAGTAGAACAAATGAAGACTAAAGCGGAGTGTCGCGCTCTGTATACGATTTTAGCGCCTTACAAGTGCGGACACTTTTTAGCGCGGACCCGACGTCCATATAATTGTAAGTCTATGGTTGACTATGAAGGAGTTCAGCATCGTCACAATTTAACTCACAAACAGACGTAGTAGAGGGCACTAGTAAATTATGATTGACCAAATTATCACACTGTATTGCCTATAGAACGAACGTTTAGTATTCAATCATTCTCGCGAATGTCGACGAGTTGTGAAGTCATCGTCTCTCCAATTACAGTCTTTATTTGCTGAATATTTTTCCGTATATATGAATTACATATTTACATGAAATAGTTAAAGTAAAAGATATATGTATCACTGACAATCTCTATGATTATTTTTATTGTCTATCTGTTAGTTGTTAGTAGCAGTAGAGCTCCTTGTGAAAGAGTTCGTCCAGGCAAATACTGCCACCTTACCTATTTCTGCCGCCAAGCAGTAATGTGAGCATTGCTGCGTTCCGGTTTTTTTGGAAGGGTAAGGGTGCTGGTGAAATTACAGGCACATGGAGACTTCTCAACACGGGCGCAGTGGCAGTGCCTCTAAGATCTTTGGGGTTTAAAGCTCTGAATGGCACTCGAACTGTTATGAATAGGCTTGTCGTTTACCACCAGGCGCACGTCTTGTTCGTCCCGTCACTAGTTATCATAAAAAAATACCTACTACTCTTGTTTTGACAAATCGAATATTTTATGACTAAGGTTCTATAAATTAAAATAAAAAGATATTTATTTCTCCACGAAACATGCGAATCACAATAATTATAAACTAATAGTAAATACAATTTGAGTGATGTGGACAAAAAAGTTAAAGAGTCAGTCACCTGTGACTGTTCGTTGGCTGCACCCGCCTAATGTGCGGAGTGTATACCAACTGTATTTACCTTAAGTAATAACTAGTAGTAAGTAAAAGTTTAAAAGAATCTTATGTAGTCTAAGATTAAGAAGATTGGCTACATTAGTCATATTCGAGTGCATTAGCGCCAACTCAACTAGGAGTCGAAGTGGTCGCCTTGACCGAACACGGTCGGATAGATAGAGAGACTGCGCCAACTTTATTTTTTGGCCACTTTCTTTTATTTTTGTACACAGCCATATTTATTTACTAATAAATATTATACTCCACGAATTTTGTGAAAAAAAAAAAGAAATAAAAGCAAAATTCGAAATAAAACAAAAGAATGAATTTTGTGAAAAAAATAAAATAAAAAACAAAATAAAAACAGATCAGATCCAAAAATAAAATTGGCGTAGTATTCATTGAAGGTATCGATAATATTGCACTGTCATCACATTTACATAATATACCTAATTTTAAGTAGATCGACCTAGTGGAAATAAAATAAACATTTATTTTATAGCTGACATCCCAACACGAACTGGGAAAAATGATAGCTGATCTTTAAAAAGCTTGGCCGATCTTCATGCAAAATAACTACAGAGCCATCCTGATAAAATTATCCTTAGAATAGAAAAAAAAAATTGAGAACAATTCGTTCGTTTGGGAGCTACTACGCCACAGACAGAGACTTCAAACTTATAATTCACCTCTTTTTGCGGACGGAGTTAGAAAACTAATAAAACAGTTTCCATTACTAAAACTACAATTTTTTATTGCAATGATTATCACTCATATTTCGCTCAAATTTTTTGCGTGTTAAGCACCTCGAAATAAAACACGGAACGATCTAGAAATTATTGATTCGTTATACGAAATTGTACGAAAACTTGATTAACTACGGGTTTATTTTTAAGTCAATGACTACGGGTAATATAATAATATAAATACAATGATGTCATATACATCATATTCAGTTATAATAAATTACTGTTGAATAATATTCTTTTACAAAATAGATGTGGACGTGGTTTTTCAAAATAAATAAAGGAAATCGGTCTAGAAATTGGTATAGAAAAAAAAAATATTTCTGCTTTCAAATTTGTCTTCGGAGCGAAATGAATTTATGGACGCATAAACCCTGAATCAACATTCATTGACTGCTCGAGTAATCTAGATAAGTAGTAAAATTACTAAACGACCCTATTCAAAATATTTGTTTTTAAACAACCAGCCATGAAATGAAAAGTGATATTAACTAATTAATTCTATTAGACAAACGACACACGTGTTTCCCCGCCAACCCTAATGCTACCTACCTAATGCTAGCCGATGAAATTGGAAATTCAGTTGTTGCTCTTTCCGTACTCGGGGCGGTACGTTACGAGAACACGTTTTCTCTGTACCATTAACAGTGCACGCATTACAATGGCTTCCTAGTAGATTCTTAATTTAAAATTTAATTTAAAAAAATAAATTTTTCTTTATTAAAAATAAATATTTTTTAGTTATTAATATTATTAATTATAATTCAAAATGACTGTGATAATTCCAAATAATAATGAGCCAATTGACATTTTTAAAAACTTGGAGATTTTTGGAAGATTTCATACATTACAGTATTTGTTGATATGTTTGCCCCTTATCATGGTATCTATGACGCACGTCAACTATATATTCGTCGCAGAGGACATTGAGTACAGGTAAGCTTTCTATTACATTATTATAACAAAATATTGTAATTCCTTGATTTTTCTTAAATAATAGATTAACGCTTCGATGTTATATTTAAATGTTTTCGTAAAATGTCTTCTATGAGGAAAAGACTCGGCCCAGAGGTACAATACTAGTCGTCGGAAAGTTTTAATTAGGAAAACAGTACCATTTGATTATTCTTCTGTAACTAAACAATTTTGAATTTCGAACTATAAATTTAGTTCCACCCTCGCCGTTCCTCTTTCCTTGTACTAGAAAGTCCAGAATACTCCATCCTTATGGCATTGAGCCATTCGCAAGAACCACGCTGCGTCATACTTTCTGATGTGTAGGGCTAAGTGTTCCCGAAAAGTACAAGTTAGGGCTATTCAAGGCTAGAGTGAATAGTATTTTCTAGACAGACGCGTAACATTCTCGGTCACATCGTCGCTTAACATCAGGTGAGATTGTTGCCAACTAATAGTCTATTTACAATATATATATATATATTTGCTGCCTTTATACAATAACGTAGTATTGCAGAATATTACGATATGAAGAAGAGAAAGAAATAAGCAGAGCAACCGAAACTTCATCATGAGTAAAGCACCCATTTTTTTTATAACTTTCCTTTAATTTTTTTGGGCAGTTAAAGATTTCTACCGTGTGATAGAAACTTTTTGTGGTACAAAAAGAAGCTGTGTAGCTTCTTCAATTAGTATCTCTTCCTAGATTTGATGGAGAACTGTTAAGACAGAATGAAGCACGCCCGATTCAATGCTTCATTGCACCTTCTTTTGATGTAAGATTTTTTTGAGAAAATGTGTGCGTTGTTCGCGACGAAGTTTTGCTTGCTCTGCAGTCGCTGTATGCTTAGTTCAAAGTCGTAGTATTTTGCAATATTGCGTTATATTATAAAGCCAGCGATTTGTCTTTGCGGAGTGTGGGTATTTCTATTACTTTTGTAAAAAACGATTGACGATTTGTGGTTTTGCTGATGACAAAAAAAAACTGCACTAGCAAAACAACTACTATATTAAATTTTTTATTGAATTGATATTCAATTATTTTTATGTGAAATTACTCCACTAGTTTGTTTGTTGTTTTATTATAACAACTTTTATATATTATACAAGATTATAATTTCCAAAGTTTAAAAGTTACAATAAAAGTATTTAAATTGAAAAGTTGTATTACAAAAATTTAAGACGACATGACAATAGTTGTTAGATAAAGATGTATGGAAAGACGACATGGTTCTAGATTCCACACAAACTTTTATTTGATTTTTAACTTGATTCAAAATATATTCTATAGCATTTAAGTTTATTTGAAAAAAGCAACCATTGCAATTTCTTTCTCATTCTACTTGGGAAGTCAGCCCAGTGAATGGGGTGTAGCTTATACAATTACGTTTTCAACACGTGTAAATTTGTTTTACCTATGGAATAAATGGTTGTTTTTATTTCACTAATTTGGCTAACTGGCGTTATCATGCTGGTAGTAAAGGTCACGGGTTCGGTTCCCGGGCCTGGAGAAATATTTGTATGGCCTACATTTATTTCCCTCGTGATTTTGGGTGTAATGTGTGGTTGCCTATGTATGTGTCCACGGCAACCGCGATACAGGGTTTCCCGAGTGCGGGACTATGGGTGTGTCCGTTATTATTATAATAATTAGAAAATAATAGTACAAAAATACAGAGACCAGGTATCCTGTACGTAGTGTTAGCTTCTACCAGCTCTCGGACATAATTGTCTAGCGCATATTAAACATAAACATATTCCACAGTTGTACTTTAATAACCTAACCTCCGGTTAAAAAAACCGATCTCAAAAGTCATTCATCCCCTAGTTTGCCACCCTTAGAGAACATGTGGTGGAATATTTTCTTGAAATTTAAATGGGAAAATTTAAAGAGGATGTATCCAGGGGTATCCTCTTTCCACATCTGAGGTACCTTCTTTCCAACAAAAAAAGAATTATGAAAATTGGTGGTTATCGCGTAACATACACACAAAAAAAAACATACAGACGAATTGAGAACCTTCTCCTTTTTTTGAAGTCGGTTAAAAAGGCCGACATGCAATAGTATTCGCATAAATGTAACGTATCTTATATTTTTAATAAAAATAAATCCTTATTCTTGTTTTAGAATGTTAACTAAAAACATTCCATAGTTTCTCATTGTTATTGGTTTCATGTAGTCTACGAGACCAAGAATGTACGTGTAATGTGTAGACACACCTGATCTTTATTATATCTAATATGTTTACTGTGAGACAAGAGATAATATTCACGAATATTCGACGTAATTTGTACCTATATATAATATAATGAAACACGTGTGTGAGCACAAAATATTATACAAAAAAAGAACTTTTAAGCTACGGCACTATGCGTAGTAAACGGTGTTATCTGCCGCTACGTTACCTACCGAGGAATGCGTAGGTAAATAAAAAACACACATTTTTTTTCCCTACCTGCCTGCTACGACTTTGTTCTTATAACTACCTACAAAAGCTACGCAGCAGCTATGTTAATTCACTACAACACAATACCGTCGCGTCATAGCTAAAAAATCCGTCGCTTTTTATGACAAATTTTATTTTATGTTTATGTATATTATATAGGAGATGTAACATTTTCAACATCCAATTGCATTCTTAGGATATTTTTTACGATAGTAACTGACGGGACGAACAGTCGTGCGCCTGGTGATAAGCAACACGCCTGCATAGCGTTGCGGTGCCACTCAGAGCTTTAAGTCGCAAAGGTATGGTGGCAGTACCTATCTGGACAAACTCTTTCACATGGAGTTCTACTGCTACTAAATGGATTAATACTGGATTTATTAAATATAATGCTACAACACCTTTTATAATCAACACGGCTCCGGTGGCTTCGACTACCTATTTGCACTCTTTGGAGTCGAAACTCTTGGCCTCTTGGGGTCCCCGTATCCGTCATCTTTACAAAATTTAAAAAAAAAAAATAATAATAGAAGACTGACTTCCTTCGAGCCGGCCGGATTCAAACCGACGTCTTCTAGCATACATTTGTTTTTGTTATTCGATCTTTGTATTAATAATTGAGGAGCTGGCGAACAAAAGCGGACTTGTCCGATTAATGATTTTTTACAGGAGGGGCAAAGTTTTGAAACAAGCAAAAGAAAACTTGGCAGATATCTGATTTTTAGTGCATGCGAGGGTCATTAAAACACGAAAACGTATCCGTTGCATGTTTATCAAAAATCTGAATAGATATTTTTTTTTATTTTTTTTTGTCTTGGACAAGTCTGGTTTTGTTCAAAAGTTTGGACAACTCTTGTTTTGGTTGATAAATTGATGGACATGTCCGTATTTGAAATGAAACTCAAATTTTTCATATTAAAAATTTAATCACAAAATTAGACAAAATCTTGCAGATCGGGCTCACAACAATCACATTCCTCGACATTGGAGTCAACATCATCGTCATCGACGTTATTTTCTGCACATGTTTGATGAGATGTAGTAGCTGTTTCATTGGAAATAATGGTTTTAAACCATTCAAGTTCAGGATTTTGTGACCATTAAATAAATAATAAATAAATAAATAAATAACGCACACACTCAACATAGCCCCGCACTAGGGAAACCCTGTGTCGCGGGTGCCATGGACACACACACATAGACAACCACAAATTACACCCAAACTCACGAGAGAAATAAATGTAAGCCATACAAACATTTCTCCCGGCCCGGGAATCGAACCTGGGACCTCTGCGTGGCAGTCCGGCATGGTAACCGTTCGGCCACAGAGGCAGTTAAATTGATCTCCGAACTGTTTGGTCAGGATTTGCTCCACGTCTTTCTTTTTCTGCTGCTTAATCTCATTCACCATTGGAAGTCTTCGAAGAAGGGACGGATGATTCTGTGATGATTTTAGCAAAGACACCACGCTAAGGTCATCTTCAGGGACATTATAAAAATTTGACACTTTTACGCCACAGTGTATATGAGTGAAACTGTTCTCGTCTCGACTTTCATTTCTTCCTCGAAAACCACGTGATCTCTCACGTCCTTTACCTCTGCCACGCCGTTGATGAGTTCTCCCCCTGGATGGCGCGATAGAACCCTGCCTTCCGCTTGATGAATCGTGTGTGTTTCGAGAATCTTTTAAACTTGCTTTTCTTTCTATTATTATTAGTTTTGCGTCCCTGATGTTATCCACCTTTTTGTAATAGCTTTCCAGTTGTTTAAAATCGTAAAGATTCCAGTCTTCAGCTAACTTGTGTACTTTGCCGTGTTTAGTATAAATCTCTTGGTAAGTTTCTGGGTTCAAAATGAAAGGTTTTTTTCTTAGATCTTTTTCAACTCTGCCAAACACCCTATCAGCTGGCAAGAAGCTATGACCGCGCACGGGGAATGTTAAAACGATTTTAGCCACATTTGCCGGGGCGTAATTTTTTAGCCAAAACATTAACATATGCACTACGTGAGAGTTTTTGTTTTGCCCTCCGCATCCATCAGCAAAAAGGCGCAAAACTTCAACTCCCAATAAATCGGCAGAATTCAGGTACGTCAAAAGAGCAGACGCTATTTCTGTAGATCCTTTTTTGGCCTGATTTTCTGTCCAAATAAAAAAATGTGGTTCTTTAGTAGGAATGTCTGTAACACAAAAAGCATACAGTCCGATTTGCCTCAAATAAAAAGATTCCTGAATGGGCGTCTTTGGAAGGCACTGTATTTGTTGAAGGTCGAAGCAGATTGTCAAAGAATTTTCTGGGCTTGTTTTAACAAGTTCAAAAAATCTTTTAGCTCTTATTTTGTGAACACGAAGCTGTACTTTTAGTGATTGAAGTTCTTGGGGATCTTTTTCGATTTTTTGTTTATTTTTCAATACTTCACAAGTGCTGCAGACATCGCATGAAGGAGAAGAGAACCCAATATTAAAATCATTTTCAAAAACTCGTCGAAACATTGTTTCGGTCACTTTAAGATCATCATCAACGGAGGTGTTGTACA